GAGATTTGTTAATATTTATGGATATCCTTTGTTCGATTTGAAATTATTGTAATCATAATCATTAGAGCAAATCGGAATCATAAAAAATAAGAAAATTATTTTTTTTTTAAGTTTATTTAAGATGATTATATTATCAATTTTCTGATTTTATTCAGTTATATATTATCAAATTGAACAGTTTAATACTTCATAATAGATTTAAACAAATGAGTTTATTAAACTATTTAGAATACTATAATGAGATTATTTATTATTCATAATTATTTAGACTACTTTATAGATTAAAGATAGCATATAATTATTATTAGGTAATCATTTAAATATATTAGTTTCTGTTTAGAATTAGTAAAACGTTATTTATTTTTCAAATGATATATTACTCATTTACAACTATTATAAATTATATATTTATTTAATTATTGTGAATGCCTCCTAAGCCTAAACCTAAGAAAGCACCATAAGAACCAGAAGATGAATTTACTAAGATGACTGCTTAAGAGCTTACATAGAATTTACAAATATTCAGAGATAAATTAACTGAATTAAAGCAAAAAAGAAATTATATCCAAATGGATCGTGATATGGTTCAAAATTTTTTCTCTAATTGCTTATAAGAAATTTAAGAGCTAAATATTAAAATTGTAAACAAAGAAACTGAAGCTGAATAATTAGAAGAAACTCACAGAATCCAATTAAAAAGCTATTTATAAAAAGTATAACTATCAATTAAGATAGGTTAAACATCTTGAGTATGAATAAGAAAAAGCAAATGATGAAATAGAAAAAGATGGAAAGGAGGCGCATAATTTAGAAAATGATCATTTTTCTAAGAGAAGTGATGAATAGAAAAGATAAAAAACACATTTAAAAAAATTATAGGAGGAATATGAAAACTCATATATTCATGCTATAGAAAAAGAAGAAAAAAACAATAAAAAAACACTTGATAAATCAAAATAAGTTTTTGATGAAACTTTATAAAATATGGAAGAGAAATATAAAATGAGACTTCAAAAATTAAAAGAGGAATTAGAACTAAGACTTAAAGTAGAAATCCATGAACTCGAAGAAAGAAAAAATCTTCATATTAATGAATTAATTAATAATCATGAAACAGCATTTGCTGAACTTAAATAATATTATAATACTATCACTAGAGAGAATTTAGAACTTATTAAAAATTAAAAAGAAGAAATAGCTAGCATTAATGCTAAACTATAAAAAAATAGTAAAATAATAGCTGACATGAAAGCTGCCAATAATAATATAAGAATTCCCTTAAAATAAGCTACTGAAGAAAGAGATATTTTAAAAAATGCACTTAAATAATTTTCAAAGGTAATATTCTCTATTATTATTTCAGCATAAAATGTCTCTACAAAATTTACAATCAAAAAATACTACTTTAACAGAGAAATATGCAGAATTAAAACATAATAGCAATGATTTAAATTTTAAATATGATAAATTATTAAGAGAAAAATAAGAATTAGAAGAAAAATTTGAAAGAATTGCTATGGAAGTTAAAAAACATACAGATTTATAAAATAATGTATTAAGTTAACAATTATAAAATATGTAAGATGGATTGGAAGAAAAGGTATAATTAAAAAATTTATTATTAGGAAGTTCAATTAAAGACCATTGTAGAAAGAACTAATATGGATCCATAAATGTACTAATAATTAACTATTAAAATCAAAGAGTCTATTGAGTATTTCATATTATTATTACTTTTAGAGCTAAAAATTAATTAATCAAGAATCTTAGATATTCTATTCATCATGCTACTAAAGCATACAATGATTCAATTAGAGTCTATGAGGCAAAATTAGTAGAATTTGGTATTCCACCAGAAGAACTTGGCTTCTAGCCTTTAGCAACAATCACAAGTTCTATGCCAGCTGGATTAGTAAGTTAATGATCTTATAATTATACAATAATTTCATTATCATCTAAATTAATATGATGTGGTTATCTTTTAATAATTTTTTAATAATTTTATCAAATGAACAATACAATTTTTATATATAAATATATCTAAACTTAATTTATTAATCTAAGTTTCAAAATAAAATATAATAAAAATTAAATAAATTTTATTGATAAAATTAATAATCAATTAAGTGAATAATTTTTTAAAAGATACTAAATGCAAAATATTATTTATGATAATTTCATTCTTAACAATTACTTTGAATGCATTTTATTAAAGAATTGGCCTTTTCGTTATTTCTGACACATTAATTATACTACAATTAAAACCATATTTTACAGCATCGAGACCCTCATAAATAGCTTTCTATTTACAGTCTTTCAGTCTATTTACACAATCATCATTGCATTCTTTAAAAAATTATGCACATTCATCTTTAATACATTCTTAATATTCAGCTCTTTTATTTCTCTCTTATTCATTTTCTTATCCATTATTTTTTTTCTTTTCTCCTTCTTCTTCTTCTTCTTCTTCTTCCTCTTTCTTTTTCTTTTCCTCCTATTCTTTTTTTTTCTTTAATTCTTCCTCCTTTTTTTTCTTTTCTTCTTCTTCTTTTTTTTTCTTTTCCTCTTCTTCTTTCTTTTTCTTTTCCTCCTCTTCTTTTTTTTTCTTATCTTCCTCTTCTTTTTTCTTCTTAGCCTCCTCAGCCTTCTTAGCTTCTTCAGCTTTTTTAGCCTCTTCTGCCTTTTTTGCTTCTTCAGCCTTCTTAGCCTCTTCTGCCTTTTTTGCTTCTTCAGCCTTCTTAGCCTCTTCTGCCTTTTTAGCTTCTTAGGCTTTCTTAGCTTCTTCTGCCTTTTTTGCTTCATCAGCCTTCTTTTATTCTTCTGGGGTTAATAAGGAAGTTCTTTAAGACAATTCTTCATTTTTTATCACTTCTTTCTGTTGATCAAATAATATCGATTTTTACTTGAATATACTTTATTTAAGTCTTGTTGAGTATTTCAATTCTTTTAGTGGTTGCTAAAGCGATTAACAATATAATAAAAACAACAGATGTTCTCATATCCCCAAAACTTTAATTTTACTGAAAAAATATTAATAGGTTTTTAATAATAAATTTTAATATGGAAGTTAAGTATTCACAACATCATAGATTAATATTAATTTATATCCATTTATTGGTTTGAATGAGTTAAATAAATAGTATTAGAATAAGAATTTGATAAATAAAATAAATTATTATTAGTGAGTGTTTGAATTAATGATTATCTTCAATGGTATCTATGAAACTGAAAAAAATTAACATTGATAATAAAAAGATTGGACTTACAGATTGTAGAGGAAGGTTGTTTATTACTTAATTAAAATATGAATTTCTTAAAAAGGAATTGTATTCAATTGAAAAATTGTATTTTTAATTAACTTTGTTTAATCTCCATTAATCATATATTAAAAAGAAAATTATTGTATTTTTAATACATAATATTGATTCTTAAACATTTTGCTTAGAAATAAAGTGTAACGTTATTATATGAAAAATTAATATTTCTTAGACTCTTCCAAGGTTAATATATAATTAATATAATGATCCATATCAACTATTATGATAATTGGATTTCTCTTAATTAGTTTATTTGATGATATTCTATTTTAGAAATTTAATTTATTTTTATATTAAATTAATTGCAAAATTTTTCTATCTCTAATTTTCTATTAAAGGTTTGTATTGTTTATAATAGGAAATGCATTAAAATACAATAGTTTGAAATTTTTATATTAGAATATAGATAAAATAAGTTAATCAATCGAGAGAGAAAAAAGGATATTATAAAAAAAATAAATGTAAATTGATTATTTGTTTTGCTAATATTATTATGATTGTTGTACAAACTATAATAGTGATCTATAGAATAAAATATTTAATAAAATGAAAACTAGGAACTCTGTTAGACAAAGACAGAGAGAAGACTTGTCTGTCACTTGTTAAGAGGTATTCACCACAAAATTCTCATAAATATGTCTTCCTTTATATATATTATCTATACACTATAAAATAGAATGTATCAATAAGTGAGTACCCACTTCCTAGTGCAGCATAAACACCTATTAAGAGAAAAGGACCAATCCATAAGAAACCTAAATAGGTATTAATCATAATAATGAGAAGACTATGATTAATTTAAAAAAAAACAAATCTTAAAGGTAATTTATCTGCTATGATGATAAAGATTTAAATATTCCTTAATAATACTAATCAATCCTCTAAAAACATGTAAGTATTAAGTTCATAATATATAAAGAAATCTGATGATGATAGAGAATCTGATGAAGAACAAATTAAACATGCTATTAACTACTTGTATAATGAATTATTATTATGTTTGGAAAAAGAAAAAAAATGAATTAATTAATTTTATAATGATCATATAAAATTATTTTTTATGATTGCAACTCAAAAGTTTCCTTTTTAAGTTCTTCTCATTCCTTTTAAGAAATTAGATTTGATTAAACAATTTAATATCAAAAATTAACAAGAACTTTGTAATAATTATAGAATAAGAATTTCTAAAAAGAGAGTTTTGAGAATGCTATATAAAATCAAACAGAGTCTTATTAATGAGTTAATAATTATGTTTATACTGAAATTTTAATGTTCTGTTCAATCAGTAAGCATTAATATAATATGATATTCTCATTATTAATCACATAGATTAACTTAATACATGTATATATATATATATGAAATGTAGAATAAGTATAAATAAAAAATTAGAAATTCTGAGAAAATATAAATATCAAAAATGAAAAAGTGATTAAACATGTAGAGATATTTTAATTTTTTTATTAATTCATAAAAAATATAGAGATGTTAATTTTGTAATAGATTTAGAATACTTGAAAATTGATAAAAAATAGATCTTTAATGTTTACATTAATTTACAGTATAAAAATATTATTATAAAATTGATTTTTGATGAATGATAATATCACTTCGAATTGATAAAACAGAAATATATATCATCAACAAAAATAAATGTAATAATTAATATAATACCTTAACTTATCAAGAGTCACCTTCCTCTATTTCCATTAATTAAGAACTACTTTAATGGGGATTAATTTAAACTATTCCTGATATTTCATATTTAAGAGCATGAAAATTGATTGTTTCTACTATATTATCTACCTGAGATAGTTTTATTTGTTGCTTATTATTTTATAGCTCCAAATATTTGATTATCAAAATAAATTTAGAATGAGTTCTTAAAAGGAGGCAATTCATTTTCATATTCAACATTCAAATTTCCTTTATTAAATTCCACTATTTTATAACACTTCTAAATTATTTAAAGTCTTTTATGTAAAATCATTCAATAAATAATAACTATTTTAGTCATCTCCATCTCTTTATTGAAGATATTTATAATAAGTTTCAAATCGAGATTCCATATTAATTGAAACTGATTCAATGTAAATTTAATTTGTGGAGATATCTTGAATAATAGTTTGTTGTAATGTTTTTTCAGTCATAAACAATAAAATGAAAATTTATAATTAATTAATCTTGCTCATAATTCTAGACCATGCAACTATTTCCTTAATTCATATTATATAGCTTGCATTGTTATATTTGGTATTACTGTTTATTATTTGATGATATTTGTGCTTGGTTAAGTATATTATTTCTATTGTCTTGGTAGCCTTGCAGATTAATGAGGAGTGATTTTTGGTTTAAAAGAACATTCTTGATTTATAATCTTTTCTTTTTCTTCTAAATATGCTTTGCTTGTTTCTTATTATTTTTACAATTTATTTTTTTGCCATTATTCATTTCTCTCTAAAAATGATGTTTGTTTCAAATAATTTGGATATTTCTTATATAAGAATATAATAGTACATTAATTTATGGTTTAAATGTAAGTTCTTTATTCTCTTTTTCTTCAGGTGTAGGAGTCATTGATTATCTAATTGGTTTAGCAATTACATGAGTTTGACTTTTATTGATTAAATCACCAACACTTACTTTCTACATATTAAATGAATTATTTTTCATTCTATCAAGCATCTTTGTGAGATTGATTTCAATACTTTTTGATCTAATAGGTGATTCATTGTTCATTTTTTTAACCGAATAGTTTAATAATTAATATTGATCAATTTTTAGATAAACAGAAAAATATCTATAACTTTTAGATGTTAACTATATCAAAAAATTTATAGTATATAGATTAAATTAAAAATGTATTTAAAATCTCTCTCTTAATATTAAAATATCAATCTATAATTTCAATAAGATTATTTAAAATATAACCTAATAAATAATTTTAGTAATCTTTTGATAAATATTAAACACATTGTTTTTAATTAGAAAATAAAATTATTTAACTCAATATTATGATTAAATCTTACATAAAAGCATTTAAAGTAAAATTTATCATATAATTTTATAATAAAATATTTATTATTTTTAAATTTCATTCTTATAGATTTGAAAAACAGATTAATCGAAGAGAACCATATTTAAGTTTTGTTTTTAATGAATTTCTAAGTTAATTGTTTATACTAACCTATTATTATTAAAATAAAATAATTAAATTCACTATTGTTATTGATGATTTGTGGAATAATTTATATAATAGACAATATCAGATTATTTATTCCAATTTCCCAGAAATATTGTAATCGTATCTTATTTTTCATTGAAGTTTAAATTTACAATTTAATTACACAAGAATATGTTTTTATATTTTTTTTTAATAAAGATAATTACTTATTTATTGTTAAGGAAGTTCTAATAGCTTCTAATCTAAGTTGATTAAATAATATTTATATTATTATGCAAGCTAAGAGCAACATTGTTATTGAAATGGAAATGATGATAGAAAGCACAGAACATTTAAATAATTTAAAAGGGGATTCACATAAGGATTAAATAACTTATATGAGTGGATAGAACTAATGTATTAAACAAAAAGTCAGTTAGATTGACTTAGAGTTCCAAAAGCTTTTATTTTAGTTGATTGAGACTAAATTAAGTGAAAATACAATCTCATAAGTAAGTGTTTCTATTTATTTAAAGGTTCATGACTTGTTAAAAAGATTATCTAGTTCTTTAATAATAGAAATTCCTAAAGGGCCTTAGATTCTTTAAAGCCTCTACTTAATCATATTAATAAGAAAACCAACAATCAAAAGAAATTTTCCTTTTAGTCCATTGTCTATCATCTTGTCGAGGATCAAAAAGATAATCAAAAGAGTTAAAAAGTTATTATAAAGGAAATTGAATTGGATTCAAAAATAGAATGATATTCAAATAAAATAGCATTCTTCATTTCATTTATACAAATCCTAATGTAAGAATACAGATAATCAAATTGATTGTTTAACGAGGCAGCTATCTTTTGAATAATACAAGGAACCTATATATAAAGAAATCACAATAATATAGGGATAAGGATTAATCAAATTTTGATTATAATATCAATCTCAAAGATTCTAAGAAGTTAATTTTTCTATTTCCTTCTAAAATCTTTCCTATACAAATTTGTTTTTAAAATGTATTTATCTATTTCTCATTGATGTTTGTATGTTCATGTGTTCATTTCTTCTTTAAATTTGAGAATAAATGATTTTTCGAGAGGAACTCTATTCAGTTTAAAATTACCTGGTTTTTCTATTTTAAATATGTTAAAAAATTTACTTGATGGTTTCTAGATTTTAGATATGCAAATTACTTGCTTCATCTAAAAGGTTAACTATTTTGTCATTGATTGATTTATGGAATGATGTTTATAAAGATTTAACTCTATTAATATCATCCTCTTAGGTTTCTTATTTAGAATTTAATAGTCTTTCAGTAGGAAATAAGAATTTTTATGAGTTGATTCTTGAACTACATTTAGTTGTACAATTTGAAAGTGGAAGAACCTTTTATATTTCAGTAAATTCATCATTAAAAGGATGAACGTGTTTATTAAAGTAGACTTCAAAATCTTTGATTAATTAATCTCTGCCTTTAGTTTTTTGTTTACTGAGAACTTCTGAGAGTTGAGACAATCTAGTCATCTGATAGATTTGATTATAGTATTTATCTGACCATAGTTAATTATTGTACATAAATCCTTGATTCTTCTTCTATAGATTTAAATACTCATTTTAAAGTCTGTTACTTTTAATTTATTGTAAGACTTAGCCATAATCAGCTTTTTCTGCAATAGATTTTCTTAACCCACCAATTTTCTTCAGTTACAAATAATAAAGATCTGAATGAGCCTTTTTTACATAGGTTTGGAATGTCTTATGTCTTTATAAGAATGCTTAATCTGAGACTATGTTGGGGACAAGGAGAATATGTTTGAATTTATTTTGTTCTTTTGACATTAATTTATTATTAAAATAAGGTAAGTTAAGAAATCTTACTGATTGTATAAGCTTATAAATTTAGAGATGAATAAAATTTAATAGTGTTTTTGAATGATAATGGAATAATAGAAGTTAATTTCAGAGATCAATTGCTCCAAATAAATTAATAAACCTATATATATAATTTTTAACGAACATATGCAATAACGCAGACCAAAACTGAAATCATTGGATAATAAAGAGAATCAACATACTTCAGAAACTCCAATACAGAATCGTAAACTATTTAGAAAGACAACACCAAAATTATTGTAGCCATTACAAATGGATTAACACATAAGTTCAAGAGAACCTTTGACTACAAAAGTAGATGGACTACATAAAATCAGATTTAGAACATATGCTAATACTATTGAAAATTTGATGAATGATAATTTGTTAAAATTAATACCTCCTACATGTGATGGAACTACTTACTCAATTGGATAATCAATAGGTAAGGGAAGTTATGCTACTGTAAGACTTGGAACTAATAAATAAGGGTTTAAAGTAGCAATAAAAGTATATGAAAAGTTATTCTTAAAAGGAGAGCGACTCAATAATCTTGTAAAAGAAATCAGTGCATTAAAAGCACTTAATCATGAATAGATTGTTAAATTATTGGATGTTTATCATTGTGGAAGTACAATAAATTTAGTATTGGAGTATTGTGGAAATGAGAGTCTCTTTACTTTGGTTAAATAACATAAAGCATTATCAAAAGATTATGCATTCAATATCATTCATCAATTATTAAAGATATTAGTATATATTCATGAGAAGAATATATGTCATAGAGATATTAAACTTGAAAATATTTTGATAAGCAATAAACAAATTAAACTAATTGATTTTGGATTTAGTACTATATAAAATTGTATTACCTGTCATTGTGGTACACCTAGCTATATGTCACCTGAAGTTGTAACAAAATAGAAGTATGATGGAAGGACAACTGATATATGGGCATTAGGAGTTCTATTTGTTGGTTTGCTATAAGGTAGCTTCCCATTTAAGGGGTCAACTGAAAAGGAACTCTTTTTTAAAATCAGAAATAATGAGTATGTAATTAATAGTTAGGATAAGGATGTGAGAATGTTTTTAGGATAGATATTTGTATTGGATCCTCATCATAGAGCTACTGCCAAAGAGGTAATTATTTATTACTTTTATACTTAGTTATTATAACACGATGTTTTTAGATCTATGTGACTTAATTTCTATAATTATTATTTATAAATTGTTATTTTTCAAAATTGTAACTTCTCTTATTATTATTCAAATAGTATTTAATCAATAATATAAATATTGATGAAAGTACTTAAGGAATTGTTAGAAATAGAAGGAACTAATGGTTATATGAAATTCAATTAGGATTTTAATTCAAAACTAAACCATCTTTTTTGTTATTCAACTTAATAGATTAGAAAAAATATTAATAACGAAAAAAAAGTTTTTCATATATCTGCATTGATTGCTGATTTATGAAATAATAAAAGAAATGAATTTAGTTAGAATTAAGATGTATTTACTTTTATAATCTCAAAAGAACGATTTAGAAATTATTCCAATTTGAACCAAAAGCTTAATCTGAATATATTAGATCCAAATATATAAAGAGATTTATGAATTAGTGGGTGATTATACTATGATAGGAATTTAATTATTTTTTAAAGTAATCTAATAAGCTAACTGCACAAGGAGTAGTTGAATTAGATAATGCTCAAAAAAAGTGATAAAAAATAAAGTTGATTTAAAGTAATATTCAATTATTAATTAATAATATACTAATTTTATTATGATTAAATCTCAGGATGATTTTTTGTATATAATAATAACTAAAAATTATATAAGTATATATAAATGTTAATTATTTTATGAATTAATAAAAACAACTCATATATTGGGAAAAATAAGGATATGATCAATTATGTGGTGTACATTGCATCAATTCTCTTTTATAAGGTCCATATTTTAATGAGATTGATTTAGCAACAATTGCTTAAGAATTAGATAGATAAGAAATTGAATTGCTGGGAAAAACAGGACATCGTTATAAATCGTAAAATGTAGCAGAAGATGGAAATTTTTCAATTTAAGTTTTAGCTGAAGCTTTAAAAAAATTAGGAGATTTATAAATTGAATCGGTAGATTCAAAAATCAACTAAAATTAAGATTTGAGGTATTTGATTTCTTTTATATAAATTAAGTCAAGAAAGTGGATTTATTTGTAATTCTTAAGCTCATTGGTTTTCAATAAGAAAGATTGAAAATATTTGGTATAATTTAAATTCAACTAACAAACGAGGACCAGAAATAATTAGTGATTTTTATCTATCTGCATTTCTATAATCAGTAAAAGAGAATGGATATTCAATATTTGTTGTTAAAGGTGTTTATCCTCCACCATAATTAGATGTATTTTATAATCTAATTTGTCTTAATAGAATATTGATTAGAATGATCGTTAAAAAGTTCTTACTACTTAATTCATTAAATAAGTTCATGATAGAAGAGTTAAAAAAAAGAATTATTAATTGAATATTGGAGGTTCAGATGAAATAGAAATGAAAAAGGCATTAAAAGCAAGTAAAGGAGAGAAATATGTACATTAAGTTATTTATTTTAGGAATCAACAGATGAAGAATTTGAAGAAGAACTTTAATAAACAAATAAAATGTAATCCACTCCAAAATTTTAAGGATAAGGAATTTAATTTGGACAATAAAAATCATAAGTAAATTATCCAAATTTCAATATTGATCCACTTGATGCTGAATATAGATCAATTATACTCATGACACTTGAATAAGTAATATTACTATTGAATAATTTATAGAAATTTAATATTTAATTAGAAGAAGGTTTAATTATCCTATTTTAATTACCAAATGGATAAAATAAATAATATACATTTAGTTATGATGCAACTGTTGAAGTATTTCATATTTCCATTTTATAGGATCTTTATGATTTTATTTTCTTTGAAAGTAGACAATAACCTATGAGATTTACTTTGATTTGCCCTATTCAAAAGCTATAACTTTTAGATGTTACACAATAGCTCTTAGATATTGGCATAGATACAATGACCTAAATTATTGTAAAGAAGGATTGAAAATTTAAATTATCAAACTTCATTGCAAACAGATATTTATTCTAGAAAATTTAGATATTCTTTGTTTCTTATTAAAGCTGAAAATTTTGATTGAAAAATAATTATTATCAATAATTTATAATGCTTACTGATTCATCATTATTTTACAGTTTCAGCAAGCAAACTGCTGTAAAAGTTCAATTAGTATTTTTGGATATAAAAATTGGAACTGATAAACCAAAAAGAGTCATAATTAAATTGTTTTATGATGAAATGCCAAAAACTTGTGAAAATTTTAGAGCATTATGTACAGGTGAAAAATCAAATCCATGTATGATATTAAAAATATAGATAAGATGTAAAATTAAATTTTAGAGACGTTCCTTTTCATAAGATTTATAGTAATTTTATGGCACTTGGTGGAGATATCTTGAATAAAGATGGTACAGGTTAATGTAGTATTTATGGACCAACCTTCAAAGCTGAACCAAAAAGATTCAAACATGATTAAAGAGGTTTAATCTCAATGTTTAATGATGGAAATGGCAATATAGGATCATAATTCTTTTTTACTTTTACAGATTGCTCATGGGTTGATGGATTACATTCGGTATTCGGAAAGATTGTTGAAGATTACAGTATATTAGATGAATTAGAGAAAAGTTATAATTAATTACTATTATTTAGTTTCATCAACAAATGGAGCACCAAAAAAATTAGTAAGAATAGTTGATTCAGGTGTAATAATGTGAAAAATAGTGAATTTAATTTTTCATTTAATTCTTTTGCCTTCATGCCATTCTCCTTCAATAATTTACCCATCTGCAAAAATCAATTACCCTTTTCCATGTTACTTACCTTCAAACCAATTTCCAACATACTTCTTACCATCATTCCAAATATAAGTACCAAATCCATGTTTTTTATCATAGATGTAATCTCCTTCATATATTCTTCCATCTGGCCATTTGTATATACCTTTCCCGTGCATCTAATTAGCCAGCCAATAACCTTCAAAACTTCTTCCATCAGCCCAATTATATTTTCCAAAACCATTAATTTTATTATTTATCCATTAGCCTTCATAGCTACTTCCATCTGGCCATAAATATTTTCCATAGCCTTCTTTTTATCCATTTTTATAGTCTCCATCATATTTACTTCCATCAGTCCATGTTTCAACTCCCTTTCCATGTTATTAGTCTTCAAACCAATCTCCATCATATTATGCTCCATTAACATGTATATATTTTCCCTTTCCATGTGCTTTATCATCTTTCCATTCTCCTTCATCTGGCAATATATTCAATATGTACATATGTCTCCATCAACATGATAAAATGTACCCTAACCCTCAGCTTTATTATTTTTCCATTATCCAACGTATTTTGCTCCATCCTTCCAAACTTATTCTCCAAACCCTTCTCTTATATCTCCAATCTTATCTTTATAGACATTTTTTTACCCATTCTCCTTTATAAATGGCTCCATTTTCAAATTCATATTAATGTTAACTCTTTTCAAATGATTGCTTGTTCTGGTTTTCACTACCATTATCATTAGCTAAAACTTGTTTATTATCAAAATATCTTGAAGATACTGGTAATGCCTTTCCAGGTGTTACAATAGGAGTTTGCAAAGGTTACTCACAAATTTATATTTGAAGAGTCTTGCCAATTGAGTTACTTAAAGCTTGTTACTATTCATCATTTAATTAACATTATTGATAATTTTTTGCTGGAGTTAATACTTATTCTGTTTCTTTCTCGCTTTCGACACATTAACATTAATTTCCCATTAGATTATATATTTTGTTCTATTATAATTAAAATAATAATAATATAATCATTCAATCATTCTTGTTATAATTTAATATTTTCAT